GGTGATCGGGGCATCTTCCATGGGAAGCTGACGTCGCTGAGGAAAGAACCACGCCTTTCTCCTGCATCTCCAGAATCTGGCAGAAGGTCTGGAGCACAGGAAGTGTTCCACAGGAATTGAGGGAAACAGTAACAAAAGAGTGAATAAAATGAATGTCGAAACTGCATATGCAAAAGGACTGGCCTTCCGGGTCCTTTCCATTGAGCTGGCTGACAGGCCACAGCAATCGTTGATCACATCTGTCACTCCAGGGAGTTGGGCAAATGCTTGAAAGTCCAGTCTGCCCTGCACCTGAGACCTTGTCGGGAGGGGTGCTGCCTGAACCATTTATGAAAGAGCAACATAAACAAGGATTCCTTGACTCTCCTCGCTAAGTTATTCTATCCTTGACTTTCCCTGGAAAAGTATCCTAGCGTCTAACAAGCCATATAGTCAAGCAATTCTTCATAAAGTCTAGCTGAAACCTCCCTACTTTGGTAAAGATAATGTATTTAATTTTATTCTCTCGTCTTCAGGGAGACACAGACCAGCTCGCTGTTATCCCCCCCACAGCCTTCCACGCCCTGGGAGATTATGGGAAGTTGGTTCCTCTTCTGAGCGGGAAAGCAGAGCCTGTGGGCATTCCCCAGTTTTCCTCCCTCGGGTTGTTGTCATCCCCACCACTGCTCCCCGAGGACAGCTCCAGCCCCCGCTCCAGCAGGCTTCCGGCTAACTGCTCCCCAAGGACAGCTCCAGCCCCCGCTCCAGCAGGTTTCCGGCTAACTGCTCTTCTCATTCCTCATCTTTCACATTCTGAAGCTGTCTCTGCACTGACTTCCCAATGGACTTATTAAATATCTCTTTCAAAGCTGCTCATTTATCACCATCGTGGTAGCAGGCCAAGCAGAGAGAGACCCATTCTCTTTGTCTCTGATCTTCTGAGTATACCAGCAAAGATTCCAGCCTCGAATTCTTAACGTTGTCTAACGCTCTGCAGTCATATTTACGAAAGTGACCACAGCACTTGGTTCCAAAGGAGCATATTGTTATGTAACAAACTGACGTAAGTTCCTGACGCCTCATAGTAAGCTGCGAAGGCACCTAAAGAGCTGTGCCTCCAGCGTGTTGGGTGCCTTAAGTGCAAAGAAGGCCAGTGCAGCTACCCTCAAAGCGTGTTTGTTTTTCTTAAATGTCTCTAGCAGAGATGACCGATAAGAAAATGAAAGAATATTTCCAAATAGACAATTTAGTTGTATTGTGGGTTAGCAGAGACAAAACCTCACATAAACAGACAGACACACGTGGGGGGCAGGACTTCATGAAATGGTCAAAGAAAAGAAACTCAGAGGGGTTCTCGCTTTAGGCAGAGATTCATCTGCAGAGGATAAGCGGAGAAAGATAGTAAGGAGAGAAATTTTGAAATAACATGTTTCAATGTAAATGTTTCTGTCTACTGACTCCATACAGATTAAGAGGAAGGGGAAGCGAGGGGGAGGCACCCACTCAACATTTTACATCTGTTTTCTCATTTAAGGCTGTTTAATCTAGCCAAATCCATTTTCCTATTTCTAGGCTCAGTAGATAACGTCAAATTCTGCAGACAGCCTGGTTATCCACCACGAACAAAGACCGTGACCAGCACCATTTCAGAAGCCAATTTCCGGCAGAATGGAGGCCTCCCTCGGTTCGAGTTTTTCCCTGTCCTCCGACAATGCATGGGCCAGGCAGGCTGTATTTATTACCTATGGTGTGATCGGAAGATCTAACAAAATTTACTCTAAAAGGTAAGAGCCACTAAGTGGAGGCCACATAGAAGCATTGGAGAAAACGCCTTCAGCCCACTTCTGGTGCCGGTGTCATCTTCCTGTGATTTACGGGGTTCTTGAGCCAAAGGCATTGCTGAAATCACTCACACAAGGAGGGGACGATGCTCAGAAGCTCTTTGGTGAACTTTAGCTGCAGCTGTGTTCTCTGCTCCCAGAGGAGAATTAGTCATTTCAGTTTGACTCATTATAATTAGAGTAGATTTCCTTTGGGGAGCAATATTTACTTTTTTAAAATAAAATGGCAATGAGGGAGTTGTCGGTGTTTGAACAGCCTGCTGGTGGGTTGTGGATTTCCTGTGCTGAGCGAGTGCGTACTGGGAGCACCTGTCAACATGGGCTGCTCTCAGGGCTCAGGCTTTCCCTGGATGAGGACAGCCAAGAGAGCATACGACCCCCTAAGTCAAGGGTCAGCAAACCACAGCCTGCAGGCCAAAATACCTGTTTTTGTAAATAAAGTTTTATTGGAACACAGCAATGTCCATTTGTTTTTCTACTGCCTACAGCTGCCTTCTCTGTTCAACAGCCAAGTGGAGTAGTTGAGACTGAGACCAGCTGGGCCTGCACAGCCTAAAACATTTACTATGTGGCCCCATACAGAAAAAGCTTGCTGACTCCTGCTCCATCATAAAGGATGCTCTCTCAACAGAGTTATATTGCTTAGCATACTCAGTACAGGAACCATATAATAAAAATCCCAAAGTTCAAAAAAGTTTAAAAACTCAAAAATTCCATGAGCACAGTAGTACTTTTGGCACTAAGCCCAAATATTAACAATTACTACTTAACTGAAACTCCATTTCCTGGAAGCAGGAGGAGTCAAACTTCCCTTGCTGTCTGTAAGATCCTAAACACACACATGGATTCTGGCTATTTGCCTCCATGCAGTTGTTTTATGTTTAACTTGTCGAGGACCACAGAACATGTTCACTGTTTAATCAATCCATCCATGCATTCATTTCTGACCTCCACAAATATTTACTGAGCGCCAGGCGCTGTGCTGGGCACTCAGAATCCAAGATGAAGAGCGCTGATGCTGGGACTAAAGGCCACCCAACCGTGGAGAGACACGTCACCATGCAACAAGAAATCGTACGTGACAGGAGTTTGCATGGGGGGGGCATGGGAGCCGGGAGAGGGCTACCTAGCGGTGGGGGGAGGGGAGTCACGGAGCTCTCTCAGAGAAGCTGATGCCTAATTTTGTTGTTAGTTATTCCTCAAAAGATTGAATATGATAACTTCTGGAATCACCTAACCCTCCCCTGTCCACCGGGAGCGTCACATGAGAGTGAAGCCAATTGTCCCTGAGGCAGCAATGGCCACAGACAAGGAAGGGGCTGGCCTGACAAGTAAGGAGTGGAGAGTGACCAACCCCACTGCCTCCAGAGCCCCAACTGCCTCCAAGTTCCAGGGATACTTCTAAAGCTTGTGCACGTGCATGCACACACACACCTCCTCCTTTTGCACTTGTGGGCTAATTTTTCTTTAAATTGCAAGCCCTTTCCAGAAGGCAGGACTAGGTGTGCACAACCCCTGTTACAGCGCCTGGCCTCACATGAGCCAACAGTGAGGCGTGAGTCTACAAGCTGACTGATAACCACCAGGTGACAAGGAAGGAGGCAGCAGGTCTGGAAAGAGACCTTGACCAGTGTTCAAGTCACAACGTCCTCCTCCTGTGACTGCAAAGAGGGTGGACATTGACCACTCGGTAAGGTTGCCCATTCCCCGTGCTCTCCCGAGTGGCAGGATGAGGCCAGGGGGTGACCCTCCAGGAGGATCCGTGGAAAACGGGGAGGGCCCTCTGTGGCGGGCTTCAATCATCGACTTTCTGAGGGGTTTGACGTCAGCTATTAGAGACTCAATCACAAGAGCCTTGAACGCTCAGGGCTTCCACAACCTCCCATGAAACTTCAGGTTTTCCTTGTGTGAGAGTTGGTGCCTTTGAGGAAAGAGGAATTTTGCCTCCTCGTGACCGAGTTGATGGATTGGGGTCCTCCTGCCCCATCAGCTCCCAACATCCTCCCCACCTCTGGTCACGTTCTCACTTTCATCCTCATCTCACTCTCTGACTGCCACATTAGGGACACTAGTGATAGCTAAAGTAGTTTTGTGGCCTATATCCTCCTGTTCCTTTACACCAGTTCGAGGCAATGGTTTTAATATTCAATCAGGAAAACAGAATTGTATATTGGGAAAAATAGGAGTATTTCAATTCCCAAGACAGTAGGCAGCCTATCCAATACCATCTCTCCACAAATTTTTTAAAATGATCATTTTCTCTGTTGTTTTACGAAAAGAGAGTTTTTAAAATGCAGCTTTAGTTAATCAGCTTAAAGATGCAGAGGAAAATGGTGACTTGAACGCAGCAAAAATGCCATTTGATCTTCAAACTATGGGACTTCGATGCAACCTCTTCAAATAAAGCTAAAGGGAACTGATAAATATCATCTTGTTTTAGACAAATGCAACATTCGAGTTGAACAAACCTGAAAGATCCTCTTACCAAAGCTGTCACTCACTAGCTGGGCCGGCTCACCGGGCCTGACGCCAACTGAGCGGTCCAGATCAGCTAGTTCGTGAGTACCCAGGGTTAGAACCCTCGTCTTACAACCATTTATTCCGAGCCTTTTTATTACACCATCCTTGCTATTCACAGTTTCTCCAAACACCTTAGTTTTGCCAATTTGGGTGGGAATCCACGAAGATGTCGGATGCAAAGCTGAGAGGCTGCAGAAGCTGTGGGGAACCCTGCGTGTTGATGCTCCTGACAGGGAGCCCAGCTCCACTGCACCCAACAAATCTACCTTCTTCCTAAAACTCTCCGAAGAAAAGAGCCAGAGTTCCAAGAACAAAACAAAAGAAACTCTCCATGTCCCATGGTTCTGATAACTCCCACTGGCAGTCCTTCTGACGAGGTTTATCTCTGAGTTCACAGTAAGTCTGTGGTCTACACACAGCTGCAGTTAGGGACCACTGGAAGGAGATTGGATATGGGACCCAAAGCATATGCCATTCCAATTTCAAGAGAATTCTTTATCCAAAAAGAAGTGCCCAGTTTACATATGCAGATACCCTGGTGGACTTGCCCCAAATTTAATTTACACATACGCAGAGACTGAGTACAAGGAGACGTATTCATCCTATAAAAGGCAAACTCCATCAAAACCAAAACATGGTCAATGAACTTGATTTCCTTACCAGCTGCTGGCCTTTGGGGCCCCATCCTGCATATTGAAGTTTTGCATTGCTGACTTCTGGTGGATCCAGACTTTGAGGGTCCCTGAAAGAAAAAAATCAACAAAGCAATATGGTGGGAAACAAGAATTTAAGATGCTATACCTTACTCCTTTCTCCTTCCACTGCACCAATTTCAGGAGCTTGTGTTATTAGATAATATGTCTCATTTGGCCTCCATTAGATTTCTTCAGATGTATATAATTTACATGAAGCTGAAATAGGCCCACCACCACTTAACCCAAACAGTAAATATTCATCCAGAGAGAACATGCAGAGAGGTGTGTAGATCAATTTTGAAAATATCCAGAATGGTCAAAATTAAAAAGAGAAATGCACAGCTATGCAGCAATAAATCCCCCCAAAGTACAGCTCCAACTTTGGCTGTCCTGGCAGGTAGGTTTTTTCCTAAGCATAATGCCAGTCATTCTGACCTTCTAAAACCAGTGCCCTCAGGACAGAGTCCACCCTTCAGTTAGTGATGATAGGGAGGAAGGAAGGGAAGCAGAGGGAGACAGAGAGAGAGAAGGAGTGAGGGGAAGATTGAAAGTTTTTTTCTTATCAAACATCACTTATATTTTTCATTTTTAATTTATTCACATGCAAAATACCACACTAACAAAATCCTGCCTATGTACTTAAATAAAGGTCGTAATGAATAAAAGTCATAATGAAAAAATCTAACTTTTATAAGTTTTAAATATTTCGTATGTTTTGTAGCTACCACTGTCTACAACATGTAGAAAAGACTGATTTTCACATTTCTTTGGGATGATACCGTGCCCCATAAAGAATTATACCCGTGTTCTGCTGAACAGGCCAGACTCCGTCAGGTGGCTCCCTATCACTTGGCTATAATGTTTGTTATGCAGAAGACAGAGCTGTGCATGCGCTCCTTCATCTATAGAGAGACTATGGTTGAGTGGTCTTTGGAAAAGGAAGATGCTGTATTTTAGGAGTTGCTTGAATAAAGGAGATGAGGCAAGAAGGGAAGGGAGGTGAGGTGGGTTGAATCAGCAGGAAGTTCTAAAATAACTGATTAATAATAGGACCAGGATAAGACAGAATCCATGGAGAGTAAAAGTTGTTGGGGAAGCTGAGCTAGTCTGCAATGCAATGTTGTAGATTGCGTCCCTGGGTCTGGAGAAGCCAGGGAAGCTTGAAGATGGGTGATAAGGTGCCGAGTAAGGGATGAGAGTGGCAGTGGGAATCAGCTAGGAAGGCCGACACAGGGCAGTCAGAAGAGTAAAGGGGGTCTTAACAGTCCGGGTTCCAAGTGAATTCTGAGAAACCCTCCCATTTGCATGCTTTTAATGTTTCAAAGTATTTTCATGAACATGGGTGATTTCCTCTTTAACCTGGGGTACAGAAAGTCTTTCTAAGGATGACCCCAAATCCAGAAGTGATAAAATGAGAGAGTAATAAAATTGACTACATAAAAATTTTTAAATTTTTGCATGACAAAAACATCACAAACAAAAGACAACTTACAAACCGGGAGAAAATATTCATAACATATACCATGGACAAAAGGCTAATATCCCTAACATATAAGGAATTCTAACCTACTGAGGTTACAAAAGACGAAAAAAAACCCAACCAGAAATATGAGAAAAACACGTAAACAGACAATTCACAAAAGATATAAAAATGATCCTCAATGTACCAAAAAGTACTCAAACTCATGAAAAATTAGAAAAACACAAAGTGAAACTGCACTGAGTTATCATTTCTCACCTATGCAACTGGCCCCCCCAAAAGAAAGAAAAGTATGATGCATTGTGCTGGTGAGGCTGCAGGACAACAGGTGTTCTCGTACTTTGCTGGCAGAGATGCAAACTGGTACAAGAAACTTGGTGATACCTAATAAAACGCACAACTAACTTCTGACCTAGAACACTTCCGAGAAGATACACCTCCAACAATACAAAAATGCATAGGCAGAAGGTTATGTTCATTGCAGCTTTGTAACTACAAAATATTGGAAACAATATGCGGTTGAATAAACCATGGTACACTCATACAGCGGAGTATGGTACAGCTGTACAAAAGAATGAAGGTCTCTATAAAATGATATGGAGTTATGCAAAGCCCAATAGAGTGTCTATAGTATGTTATCCATCATATAAGAGATATAAGAAAATATATATGTGTCTCTTCATCTGTGAAAAGAAGAAATACAGGAAGCAGAAACCAGAGAACAGAGATTGGTAGTGTGTAGGGGGTGGGTGGAAAGAAGGAGGGTTTGGGAAACGGCATCACTGGGATGAGGAAGGAGGAGCATTTTCTGGTATATTTATTGGTAAAACAGTCTATCTTAGACCATAGTAGGGTTTCACATCCTCTTTACACATTCCAAAAATAAAACAAACAATTAAAAACAACCAGGATGTGAGGGAACTCATAATGGAATAGAAACACTGACAACAGCACAGAACCGTATTACAAATGCAGTGCAAAACTACACTGAGGGGGTGGGGAAGAAAAGAACCGACACAAGCAACTTGGGCAAAAGCATCTTGACTGGATGCCATGGAGATGAAGACAAAAGGAACTGCTGTAATGTAGTGACTCCGTGCTTCTCAGAGGGCTGGCAATCTGAGACTGCTTTACAGAATTAGCCTATTATGAAATATCAAATATCTTGGAGATAATGAGAGCTGGGTTTCTCACTGTTGGAGAAAAAAGTTATAAGGAGAACGGGGAGGCTAAAAGAAACTGTGTGATGCTGGGTTGGAATCAGAGGTATCAGTACAAACTCATGGTTTTTAATGTATACACAGAGAGATCCAAAATATAGATATGTGTGTACCCACAGGTTATACATCCATATATATCTTTGCTCTGCTCGTGGAGAGGCCCAGTAACAATGAGGACACCCCGTGACCATAGCTTGGTCTCTAAACACCATCTTCCAACAAAAAAAGTAAATAAGACTCCTAGGAAAAGTCACTGTATCCAGGCTGGAGCAGGAAAAGTACGGGGTGAGTTTGGAAAGTAAGGACATACTCAAAAAACATAGAGGCTTGTTGAAAGAATGCAGAGGCCAACCTAAAGAAGTTTCTCATGAACAAAGCCGGAATAATTTGAGCAGCAAAATAATTAATGACAGTATCAGGTTAACTCATAGAATAAAATAAATATCCATGAGTCCATATTAATACAGATAAGTAATCAAATAACTAAACAAAAGGGGGAGGAGAGCCAGCTCTTCTTCACGATAGAATCCAACTGATAAATGCAGAAGGAAGGAAGGAATGAGCATCTCCCGTGAAGTAAACCACAGCAATGAACGATGCAGACAAGAGCCACTAAAATTAGTGGGTGAAAGTCTGGAGAGAAACAGAATTTTCACAGACTCAAAGTATCTTCCCCAAGATATTTATCAACCACAAAGGGGACAACAGCAACTTTGCAGTGGAGAAACCTGGCAGACAGCTGCTTGAGACTGAGGGTAGTGTCACCAGAAATTAGACACATCGACATCATGGACCCTTCGGTGCGATGCCCCAAGAAGGAGAAAGCATCATATATGTGATGCTTTTGCCAAAAATGCATAACTTCACTCCAATCATGAGAAAACTTCAGAAAAACTCAAACTGAGGCATGCTTCACAAAATAACTAACCAAGACAAGGAAAGACTGAGAAAATGTTTCAGACTGAAGGGGACCGAGAATAAATAACATCTAAAGGAATGTGGAATCCTGAGACAGAAAAAAGACATTGGTAGAAAAACTGGTAAAATTCAAATAAGGCCTGTAGTTGAATTAATAATATTGTACCAACGTTAATTTCCTGTTCTCGATCATGATAGTGTGATGATAAAATACACTAACAGCAGAAGAAGTGAGGTGAGGACTATAAGAGAATTCTTTGTACTATTTTTACAACTTTCCTTTGTCTAAAATTACTTCAAAATAAAAAGCTAAAAAGTTCCAAAGAATTTTAATAGCTTATATCTCATTGGTTTTAAAAATTACTATAGAAAGGAATGGAAAGTTAGAAAATTTCCCTCCCAGCATACTGTGATCTTGATATTGAATTTAAAAATATTACTTCCATGTCTAGCACAGCATAGGCACCCAATACATGCATTTGAATAAACAAACAAGTGAGTAAGTATCGGTGAGCTATGGAGGTGGTGCTAAGTAAAAGAATTTTTGCAAGTTTAAAGACAAACCTAATGGATTCACCTGGCCTGGGCTTATTTAGAATTTTCCAAGCACAGAGGGCAGGCTAGGAGACCAGAAAAATGTTTAAATTCCATAGCTTTACTTAATATTGAAATTCACTCTGTTAGATTACAATTTCTAGCAGGTGTCTTGGATATTCCGGAACAGCAGGAGATTAACACTCTTTAACCTAGGTGTGAGTTCCCATCAGTGCTCACTGGAAACAGACTCTCAAGCGGATAAAGTGCTCAGAAGATTGCAGCTGCACCAGGGCGGGTACGCCACGGTCACACATGCCTGCCAACTTTATGACCTCTACTTCTCTGGGTGTGGGAGACCTTTACTCCCTCTCTAAAGCTGCCCTGCCCTCATCGCCTTCATACTAGACAAGTTTCTACAGCACGAAGGCAGCAAAGTAATAGGAAGAACCACGGGCGAGCGATCGGAAGTCCGGCACCCGAACTCCAGCTTCACGACACAGATCACGCGGCCGGGGCAGCTCTCAGACGGGCCTTAGTCCCTTCTACCGAAGAATGGGGATAATAACTATTCTTTCCCCCACAAAACGGTCATGAAAATCAAGAGAAACAGTGAACATTACTTGATAAACTCTAGCACACTCTAGAGAGGTAATTGTTTTTATTTTTTTCTAGCTAGTGAATCTCTCTCTTTCTCTTTAAACTAAATCAATGACTCCAAGATGCCAGAAGTGAGCTGCCTCCTGAATCAGCATGATTGTCGATTGTCGAAGGAAAACACCAGGGTGTACCTCACACAGGCGAGGAAGCTGGGATGTGGGGGAAAGAATTCCAGGAGGCTGTAAATTTAAATCTGAATTCTGCCACCAACTAGCAGTGAGGGCTTGGGGCAATA